GGGGGGGGGGGGGGGGGGGGGGGGGGGGCTGCTTCAGTTATGAACTCCCAGAAAAAGCCCCAAGAAGAGAGGGAGTCTTTTTATTGCGATGACCTTGAGCTAGTCACACATCTGTATTTGTGCCATTCGATTGAACGGCATGTTCGTTTCAACCCAAATGAGTTGATTCTGTAGACATGCCCAGGATTACTACCGTGATTAAAGTTGCTGGAAGGACTCAAATTATGGAGCTCGGGGGAAAAAAAAAACTCAGGGAAGAGAAACCAGTTTATAATTGTGCATGGTAGCACGTTTCATACGTTTCAAAATATATAAGAGGTCGCTTTGAGCTAGACGACGATATCAGTGTGTCCAATGTCATCACATCCCACGTCCTCAGAAGACACGGTGAAGATTTTGAGTTCTTAGGCACACAGAGCCGAGGGCCCAGTCAAGGCGCAAGTCGAACCCACAAATTACGGATATTGGTCCTTGAGTCCAGATGAAATACACTCCGGTGACTTCCAGGAAGGCTTCGGTGTTCCCCGGGCGGTGGGCATCACCGTGGATTCAGATGGGGAGAAAAGTTGACTGTATTTTATTTTTAGAAATGGCTCTTTGGGTATGGTGCCGTGGCGGCAGTATTATGAGAGGCGTTATCCTACGGCTTCCATACCCTGGCGACGGTATGAACATGGACGGTATTCCGCGGTTTTCATACCGTGGCGATAATACCGAAAAATGTAGAAGGAGTCGGTATGATTATCGTGAGAACCGAATACCGCGGTGGGATGAAAATACCGGTATATCGCAATGACCTAGTAGACAGCATATGGACCTAGAGTTGAATGTTCTAGTCCTTTTAATTCTTTTTTGGGGACATGCGACAAGCGCAAAAGACAACGAACTTTTTCAATTAAGTTAAAATACACAGAGAGGGGGTGTTTGCTTGTCATCTGCACCATAGCCGATATTACTGTCCCTTAGGTATGGACGGTCCTACAGGAGGCAGGGGGGGGGGGGGGCCTCATGGACATCCCCCCGGTTTATGATTGCAGCGAGTGACGTTAAAGTGTACTTCACCTGCATCCCCTGGACATGACATACAGTGTAGCGTGTATGCTACCCCAAAACTAAGAATGTATCCCTCAGAAAGCAGGTGAATTGCCTGTCCAATTTAAAGCACCTTGTCACCAGGCCTCGATCTACCGCCTCCCAGATTCGACTTGAAAGCTCGATCCATTCGGTCACCGAATCTAGTGAATACCTTAATATACTGGCAATCAAGATACCACCCTCCTACCCTTCCATTGTCTGCCTACTCCTGTAACGTAACTATCAACCGAGACTCAGATTGAGTTCAAATTGAGTTCAGATTGCCTTTCGTTAACGACCCCTTGTGACAGCCTCAGGATCAGTGAGAGGGGCCAACCTTAAATAATAGTATTCCTTCTTTTACTCCTGTGATATTTTCGTTGAATGGGCTATCCGAGTCAATTATGTCTCATCTAGTGTCCTTGTTCATATGTGACCGTGGCAGACCCATGCATTTTTTTAAAAGTGAATTGTACATGAACTAGCGAAGCTCGCACAGGGACATGCCAGATTCCATTTGGGCTATCGCACTCTGTAACTCTTAAAAAATTTCTATCGAGTCTCACATGGCTAGTGGCATTGTTTTCTCGTGCATTTTTCTTTTGTGTATGCAGTGATGGCATAAATCGATTCCGCAATTGAAATTTCTGAGTAATGTTTTGCAATTTCCTTTGCGATTGCCTGGAAATCGTGAAATCTTGAAATCGTGAATCAAGAACCACGAATTTTTTTAATAAAGCAAATGCGATGTCCTCGTAAGATGAACAATCTGTGTACGATATAAGCACAGCGAAGTTCGCAATGGGCCCTCTGTAGTCCAATGAAGTCCAATATGAAACCCATACAATCATGGAACATAAAAGCCTAACAGGATCCCAGAGGAACTTTTAGGAATAGGAAATGCCGTATACAGGGTGGGCAAAAAAAAAAACAGCCATCATTTTTGGTAAGTTGTCAATCTATTGCCAATTGCCAATTCTAATGAAATTTGATAGACACAGGGTGACTCAATTAGGGTTTGTGTGCCGAGTTTCATATTTTTTTTAACTGTGAAATTGACATTTAATTTACTTTTCATCGCCAAAAAAGTAAGTGTTCATATTTTATTTCCGCTTAAAATTTTTCACAATTGACAAAACAAATAAGCAATCAAGCAGAACAAAAACAAATGCACAAATGCCAAAAACGAAAGCACATAATTTGGTTTAGGGACGTTCATTTCAACTGAAAAGATGCTCAATGAGCATCTTTTGAACACATTCTGTTGAGCACAAGCCTCTAGTCTGGGACATCACAGATCAACGGCTCGGTCAAGAAATCTTCGAGGCAGTGCCTCCCAATCTTCCTCTGTAGCATCATGCAGGGATGGAAGGCCGTGAATTTGGTCCTCCCTTTCATCCCGGCCTCAAGTTCATATCCAGATTTTCGACAGCACATATTGTCATGGGTCTTCAGAAAATAATTACAGCTCCTATAATTTTTGAGCCAGAAGGCTGAAATTTGGCATACAAACTCCAATTGCGTCACCTTATAAGCATACTAATTTTAATCAGAATCGGCTGCCTAAAACGAGATTGACGACTCACCAAAAATGACATCCTTGTTTCTATGGACCACCCTGTATGATGTTCAAACCCCGCTTTCGAACAGCAGCAGAAGTAAGTCATCTGTACTTACTCTTGTAAGTCATCATATGGTGTTGTGTATATTGAATGAAGATGGTGGAGACAAATTCATCACCAATATCAATGCTATCATCGCGGCACAGAATTCAAAGATGTGGCGAGAGTTTCAAAGAATCGCTATCACTCACGAAGCTTCGGAAGACTTGCTTTTTTATTATTGGATTCAGTCGATGGCTCTAGCCCAGGTAGGGTCGGAGTCATGCTGTAGCAATTTGCGCTAGAGTTCTGATATGTCTCAAGATACAGGGTGGACCAAAAAAAAAAAAAACTTCGGTTATCTTTATCACTCCACAGCACTGGTTTCCAAGAGTTTGCTAAAAAAAAAAGTAATAGTTCCTCCATGTAGAACATTCATTTAGCTTTCGAATGATGTCAACAAAACAAAGATTTTTGACCTAACTACCACGCAGTTGGATGAAGAGGATAAGAAGTGGCGCTGGAAAAGTTGGTGCCATTCTGCGATTTGAGCCAGTGCATGCAAGATTTCGCCTACTCGCCATAAGCGAAAGAATGGACTTCACGTAAAGCACATTCCATATTGTACTGGTAGGTGCACGTATCGAGCGTTACCTCTGTTACATTGTTCGTAACTGCATCGGAATGACAAATTGAATCTGAAATCTTTTGACATCAGTGGAAAGCTAGATACATGTTTTATATAGAAACGCTATTACAACTTTCTAAACTCTCAAGAAACTACGCCGTGAAGCGTTAAAGATAACCGACGATTTTTTGGCCCACTCTGTAGATGAAGAAATAATAAATGTTTTCATCGTGAGGGATGAGGAGGCGGTGATAGTAATAAAGCCCTACCTCCTGCTGGATATCTGTGATTAATTTCAATTAATCCCTCCTCTTGTATTTAATATTATTTTCTCCTTCCAGGAACAATAATGCTCAGAAAAAGACCGGAAAGAGTTTTTTTTTTATTGCCTCCCGCAGTTTCTAATCAAGAAGAGATCCCTCGTGTCGCACTTCACTCGAGCCTTTTAAATGTTTGCGAGAAGACCAACGAATATAGAATGAAATTTTCTTTCCACTTTTCTGCATAAATGAAGTCCGATGGGAAATCGGGATGCAATTCGTCCGGCGCGGCATCCCGTGGGGAAGGGAGGAGGGGGTCTCTTTGCCAATCCAATTGGCTCTTAGGAGGATATCGATTCCCTGTCGTGTTGAACCCCCGGGAGGGGAAACTCAATATCGGTGACTAAGGCATCCTTTCACAGGACAATATTACTTCGTTACTCTCTTTCAACGACTCCACCAGGAGGAATATGAGCCCACGAATTTTAGTTCATTACGCTTTGATATCACGCGGGTTTGGGTTTCCTAAAGAAATTCAATTTATCCCAACCGTCTCTTTCTTCTTCGATCATTTGGGGTCACATTTTAAAATAAAACGTTCGTGATTCACCTTTAAATATTTTATTCTTGTTTTTTGCAGTTGGCACAATTTTTCACACTTTTCTTCACACCGGTTTTTCTCTGGACATATATTATTTTTGCCATTCATCGGTGCATGCACTTTCATTATCATGAGATAACGCATCAATCGTCATAAAAATTCATCATATAACTTGATAAAAAAAAAAGTTCGCCAGACATTGAGAACCTCAAGGACGGGACACAGCCCCTTCAGCCTCGCGCAAAATGAGCCTCGGGTGGATCAGGATTAGGACGGGGAATCCCCTTTGGTCTGATAATCCAGGGGCCCACAGATGAATTTTCCCGGGGAACGGGGATCCAGCGACGACAGAAAGTCCAGGAATAATTCGTTGAACCTCTCCCGGCTCAACTTGTTCCCCGTCTCCGCATCTCTTTCCTGTACGTGCAACACAATTTTCAGCTTCAAAATTATCCTCTCGCCTTGATTGCATTCGGGACTTGATGAAAGGCAAACAAAGTCCTTGATGCATAATCTAATGAGCAACAGGTTCATTAGATTATGTGTCATGGACACGTCCGCGCCGATTTGCAACTCTCATTGAATGGACCAACATTAGCTTGCGTCCTTCCATCAATTTTCTCGGAAGAAGGTTAATTCTCAGTGGTTGGCTTCGTCCAACAGTAAGAGGGTGGTTCAAAGAAAACGAGAAAATCATCATTTTTACAATGCAAGTGAGTTTTGCCTCTGACGGTGGTACTGATATGTTGCTTTGGTCGAGTCGACACCTCTAATTTAGGCTAATTTCGTTTGCCAGTTTCGAGTTCAGTGCGAGTTGTGGTCAGATTTTCGAACGCCGAGGGAGTCAAGCCAGTCGAGATACATGAAGAATTGTGATAAGTGTACGTCCAGGCCCGTGTGCGTGAATGGGTTCAGAAAACGGCGTCAGCGACCTCCAGGATTCCTCTCGGCCTGAGCAGGCAAACAACGCAGTCAGACCGGGGACGATGCGCGCCGTCGAGGAGCTCGTCGAAATATCTCGATTGGCGTTAAAGAATCCGACCGGATCTGATCTCATCTCTCTGCGTTCAAAAATCCGACCTCAGCTCGTCGTGTCGCTTCTTTGGTGCAAGTTTCCAGATGTGCCACCATTTTGAATCCACTGGGCGACCCCTAGCACCTGTTGAAAAATAAATGTGAGCATCCAGAGAGGTGTAATTCAAAGTAACGCATCAGTTCCGCTGTCAGAAGCAACACTAATTTCCATTGTTAAAGTTATCATTTTCTTGCTTTCATTTGCACGACCTTCGTATTTGGCTGATTAAAGCCCAAATTAGAAAGCGTCATCTATGGAAGAGTTTTGCAGGGTGCGGTGAGCCAGCCGATGGATATTAGAATATGGCAAACGAAATTAATCTTCCCCGGTCCCTTTGTCTTTCTTTCCGCGAAGCAGAAATACGGCTTCATCCTGAAGGATGAAGGGAAATGAAAATGTTCCAAAATTCTCGGAAGGTAATAGGAGTCGAGTAATGATGTTTGGTGGAGCTCCAGATTTATTACTGTTGCCGGATGGGGGATATTTCGACGTCATCGGTTAAAACGTTATGTTGAAATCGTTGGTAATTCTTATTTTATTCTACTGTTGTGTGCTGTTAAAAAAAAAACTATTCCAATATATGGAAATTTTCCAAAGAAACGTGGGTAATTTAGACAATTTGCACATATGGGCAAATATGTGACATTTATTATTCGCGGTTTATTTTTCGTAAATCCAACCAACATGCCTTTTTTCTTTCCTTTCTTTCTTTTTCTTCGCAGAGTTTTGACTTGGTCTGACGCAGTCAAATGGACTTGAGGCCGTTCCACTCTTCGTGTTTCCCGCCTGCCATGCGTTCAGGCGTAATCAATCGATGCCTTCGCGTGCTTGTTCATTTTCGTAAAAGGGAATGTACGCGAGTCCGAGCGCGTCCACACGCAACTGATAATGAGGAAACGCAATCTACCAACGAAGGAAAAATGAGAGCATGTTGGCGTTCGGAATTCGGCGGAATCCAATTCGAAACGCCTTGCGTCTCCTCTTCACGTGCGAATGCATGTGGACACGCATGCACGCGTGTCCACACGCATGCACGCGCGTCCTCCTTTCCGCTCGAACGCGATAGACGCGTGCAGACGGGCATGTTGCATGCAACACCGAATCGAACGCGTCGAGCGGAAAAGACGCGAGTCGTGAAGCGACGCGTTTGGCTGCCCTGCTTCCACCCTCGAGAACGGCACAGCTTCAGTCATAGTTGCAATGGTGATATTAGGGCGATATCGCAGCCTTTCATTCGAACTCAGAGCTCCAGAGGTGCTGCGTATTCCCCTGAACATGAGGGTAAGTGACGTCATTGCACCTCGGCTGAAACGCGCAAAAACAGGCGAGCATCTGATGCAAACATCATTCAAAATTGCGATTCAAAGTGAAGTTGCAGCTTTAAGTTTCTATGATATGAAAAAGCATGGTTATGCGATGCAATTTACGTGCTATCTAATGGCTCATCGTAAAATTGTACGAGGAGAAGTTTGGAAGCCCGGTATTTATCAACGCAAAATCTATCGTCCTGAAATACTCTCCACGTGGGCGAATTTTCTCTTTAAAAAATCTTGCAATGTCTCTTGAATGATCTCCATAATTCGGGCAAAATAATCACTTTCATGTATAATTTTTTTTTTCAAATAGGAAATGAGCTTTGATTCCCTCATTGTTTTCGACACAATTTCTTTCGGTCATATTTGTACAGCGCCTGTAATTCACAACGTCGCTAGTCACCGCCCAATCCTGCTTTTTCGTAGAAATTCAGCAAGTAAAACGACTGGATGTGAAAGAAGAGCATGATGAGATGCTGCATGCCTAATGGAAAGAGAACATGAATAATTCACGGGTGCACGAGCCTTCTCTGCCTTTGTCCTTTACTTTATTCACCCAATTTCCTGGGGTCTCTCATGGGTATATTAAAAGGAAAAATCATTTAACTGCTCCTCGGTGCGCGAGAGGAATAAGAAAGAGGTGTAGAAATAATGCGAATTCGATGGTGACCTCGTTCTTTGCGATTGTCGAGGTCTTTTTTGCGCGAGCGGCTGCAGTTCCCTTAAGGAGGGATGGGATGAGCCGAAAACGTTCGTGATACAGATTTTATTACCGTTCCAGTGAAATTTATTAGGAGAGACATTTTGATGGAAGCTTTCGCAGTATCTACAGCCGTCTGCAGGCTGCAGTCAGAGTCGGCTGGAGCTCGAGTTCATAAATGTCATCTCCAGCTACACGTTATTCGATTTCACCTTCATCTACTCTTATTCCTGTTATTTTACTCAGTTCCTTTGCTGTACGTATGACAACTGGACTGCAAAAGGGTTGCCATTGAATAAATCCACACGATACACCCCATCTTGCCAGGAGAGAAAGCCCACTCTTGAACGGAGCCATTACTTCACTTGTCAATAACGTGTTTTTGTGTCGGACTTCCATCGGTATGGATGACAGTCTGAACCTGCACAGGCCGTGGAAGTTTCGTCAACAGTCCACGAGCCCTCATTCGTGGCCTGACACCATGCTCCTTACGGAAAAGGTGTATCGTGTGTATTTTGCTCGCTCGACCGGACTTCTTGGCAGGATGGCACCCGACTACTGTGTCCTATTAGAACGAAGTTCCGATCGTGACGTCATCTTGCCGTCGAATGGCATTCCAGATCGTGGACAGGCCTCGAGTCCTCGCTGCCTAGCAATGTCATGATTGCTTAAGCACGCTGTGGCGCGATGACGTGCACGTCATCGTTGCGTAAGTGGGTCTTCACTTTTGGCAATATAGTGTAGATGTTCACCACTTTTCGCGTACTTTAAAATATGATGCGGTTGGACTGCTCTGGGTGGTCAAAAATTGTTGACTGCCTAATCTTAGAATACATGGAGACTGGCAGCGAAGATTCCTTCATTATCTTCAGTGAGGAATGGGAGCCCCCCCCCCAAGTCACAGGATGAATCGATGAGTCTTCAAGCACTGACTTCCCGTAGCGGCTACGGGAAGTCTTAGACGAATAATATAGCTGCTTAGACGTATAATATAGGCAACGGCGTAGCCTATATTATTTGTATTAATTAAATCGTTGAATTCAACCCCAACCAACTTACGGTTCAACTCGAACGCTTTAGTCACAGAATGGTCGTGAAAACGAACTTAATTTAATTTTGCAGACCAGAACTCGCCAAGTCGATATTTTGCGCAATTAAATAAGGCGTGTCGTGTCGGCATATTTGTTTCCATCCGTAAATGGACTTGGCAAGGATAAGTCTCGGTTTCTCGTCCTCTCTTCCCTGCGAGACGAAAAGACGATAAGACCTGGAGTTTCTCGGAAAACACAGGCGCGAGGGGTCGCCGGAAGTGCCGCGAAGATGATTGATGCAGAGATAGCATCATTCGAGATGATGAGGAAAAATTATTGCCAGTTTCCGGGGTCGATTTCATCGCAAGAACCCAGAAGAAGCGGATAAAAAGAGCGATCAGACTTGAAAAATGAAGCCTTGATCGAAACGGAGTCTCGACCGATCGAGCTCGAGACTAGAAATTCCGCCGCAACGAAAATGACGTCATGTTTATTCCCTTTTATCCTGGGATCCACCGCGTCCAAAATCCATCTAAATTGTGCGTTTCGTGGCGATGTTTAGAGTTTGTCTTGATGGACTTCACGACTTCCTTGTGTTCTTTCTCCGTTTCGGTGTTGTGCTTGTGAAATGCGATGCGGATTTGCGGGGTAACGGAGATCTCATCGCTTCAGCCACGCGAATCGTTTGACGACAGTCGCTATTTCTGTATCGATGGGAAGCCATTGGAAATTCGCCTTTGTGTTCTCTCATCTCGCGTTTCATCCGATCTCTTTACGAGATCAGATGAGAGGCCATATATTGCATTCCCATGTAGCGTCGCATTTCGGGGGCGAAAAAGATCACCTTTCGGGTCTCCCTTCATACTTATTTCAACGGGAAAAAAAAAGCTTCGGTTATGGCTTTTCTGAGGCCAAACGGTCGAGTCGGAAATCGGCGAGATATCGTTTGGCAATCGGTGAGTTGTTGTCGACGAGATGGTAGGGAACGATTATTATATGACGGAATGAGGTCAGAATAGTATGAGCATTTATTTACCTCGATTCAAGACCTTGCACTTCGTGTACGCAACCTTGACCGGAAAAAAACGCCCAGGAAACCGTTTGTCGTTTTGAAAAACGGTTGCAGAATTTGGCGTCACCCGGCAATGGAACTCTGAATGGTCCGAGGAGGGACGCAAAAAAAAAAAAAAGAATATTTGGAAGAGACGAGAGAATGAAGGCCGGGCGGTTCAAGGCTCAAGGCAAGGCCGACCATTCTTCCTTTTCAAGGTTTTTTTTTCCATTTCTATGGGAATAGGTTTGAACCAGTTCGGTTCGGTTTTAATTGCAAGTTCTCTTGATTCGGCTCGGTAACGCGGCAACAAAGGAATAATGAAGAGAGAAGAGAGGCTTCGAGAAACACGAATTGAAAGATGGATGGACAAGGCGTAATGCGTAATTTGCAATTTTCGTGCAGCAAACACAGCAGCCATGTGATACTGGTTATAGAAGTATTCGATGGAAAGCACTCGAATTAGGGTAAACAATGATCCAATTAATCCCTTGTTTACTCAGTTCTCAGATGCATGAGAAAATGAGAAAGGTCCTGCTTTTTTTCGATCCTCTGTACCGGGAAGTGTCTCATTTTGTTCCAATTTCCGACGAGGCCTTCGACGCGTGCGTGGAACTCTCGTCGCGAGGCGTGAGATTTAGACCGAAATGGTGCGTATTTCCTGGATCCTGGTTCTTTTTTGTCGAGAGGTGACGAAAGGCAGAGAGACCGACCATAAGGCGGAGGTCTGTTCAGCGTCTCCCTCCGGATTTAATTAGATCCTCCTTTTCCCATCCCAGCCGAAACGAACGAAAACAAAAAGGGAAATAGACTGGGGGGAGTCTGAACAGTCTGCAAAAGAAAAAGCGGAGAAAAGCCTATTTGCCTTTAAGAGGCTATCCCCGGGAGAGCGTGTCGACCCCGCGGCGGAATTTCCTCGGAAAAATATGGTATATAACTCGGAATTTCCTCTTTTTTTTCTATTTTCTCTTGCGTCAGAGTTCCATCGAAGATGGCTGCAGGGTCGAAAAATGAAAAATTTCACCGCGTTGTGGCTTGAATGGAAATTCGAGCATGAAAAGTCCGATTTCGTATCTTTAATCATAACATCTCAGTGCACCTATGTAGGTTTTTAGATTTTTCTTCCATTGCTTTACTCTATGAGTGTCGACAATTTTTCAAAATTCAGTGATGTGCAAGTAGAACACCTAATGTAATTTGTCGGAAGATAATTTTTCTTAAGCATCCTTGATTCCTCTGGCAATCTTATAATACCATGTGTAGTTTATAGTTTTATGTATCGTCACATCGTTGGTATTGCGTAGAACATGCTAACAATGCGATTTGTGCGCATTTCGGATGGGAAAATCCAAAGTGCAGCACGCGCCGGGATCAGTTCGATTCGGGACGCTTGCATGCGAGATGGAGAACAAATTTTAAGGAGAGGAACTTCGCCCGATGCGTCGAAACGCCGCCAAATCTATGCGCAGATAAGAACGCACAACATGCAAATAAATTTTTCCCAAAAAAAAAAAAACAGCGAGTGAGGACGGCGTGCTGAAAGCCTTTTCATATTAAATAATAGGGACTTTTTGACTTCGATGTTAATCATCTCAAAAATAGGAGTTCGTGTTGGTTTGGAACGTGTTGCATCGGTCGAATCGTTTTTATCCCTCGTCCACTCGAGGTGGCCGAGAGATAGCGATTTCTTCGCTTCAAAACATCTTTGAAAGACGCTTCGAAGCGAATGAATCGAAAGGCGAGAGAGAGGAAGCTGGGGTGACGTACGGAGATAAGGGACTGGAAAGCCTCCTCTGCCCGGTTCGGGTCCATCTGCCGGGTCTGCAGGTAATGCTTGTAGTCTTTCGTGCAGATCAGTCCGTCTTCTAAAATGGGGGGAGGGGGAAATGGATTTAGAAAAATTAAGAAAATGACTCAAAATAATAATAGATGGATGGAGTTTTCCAGCTGTGTCCTCTGGGACTGGGGAAACAACTGTCAGCAAGTTTACGCTAAAGTAAATGAAGCTAATGTCGAGAAAAATCATATGATTTTTCGTATGAACGCTATCACAATACAATCGCGCTCTATTATATTATATTCGTCGAACTCACCATAAATCTTAAAGTTCGTTGTGAACCTTAGGATTAAATTCTATTTTTCAAAATGCCTATTGGAAGTGCGACAATGGTCGCGAAATATTCGCTTTGGAAAAAAAAATTATGAATCTGTTACGCTAATATGTGATTCGGAGGAAACTGACTGTTGTGATCTAGGAAGACGAAGTGGAGTTGGAGAAATCCCTTGAGGAAGTCCGGTAGGTCCTCGGCATTTTTCAACGACGTCCTCATGGACTTGAAGTAGTTGAGCCATTCCTCGAAGTCCACCTTCTCGTCCTATCGGCCGAGAGAGCGGTCAGGTGTTCAAAGTCGGTGCAGGGAGCCTTTTTCGTCGTGAATATTTGGATTTTTTAATTTAAATAATAGGGTGAACGCGGAAGTCATTGTTTTCATCTGATCCAACTCGAATGAATTGGAATCGAACCAAAACCGAAAGGATATATGGGGGAGCCCAGAAGATATATCATCAGTGATGTGGGTCGTTCCATCTGTCGTAACATGAGATTTAATGCGTCCATATAAGTAGGTAGCACAAGGAAAATAAATTACCTTTTTATGGTCCCTATGAATGGACGTCAATCCACAATCAGCAGAGAACATAACCACGTGATATACGTTGGTAATGTAACTTTTGGACACCCTGTTTACTTACGCATATATTATTTTACATTAGAATATACGAGACTTATAAGATTATATCATGCCGAATGCATTATAATGCATTAATGGCTTTTCTTCACCACTCTACATTGTCAACTGTATACGAAGCGAACTGTGGCGAAGAAAAGCCCTGGGATTCTAGACTTTCACCTTGATTTCTGCAGCTAGCCAGATATGAGGGTGATACTTGGAGCTCTCTTATGACCTTTTAAATTATTCACGCTTTGAACGTGCAATACTTTGAAACGCATCGTTCGCGTGGGCTTTATTTTCGCGATTCAGCAACATCAAATGGGATCCTGTACGGTAAGCACCAGGCGAAAAGGTAATGTCACGCACGTTTTTACGAACGTTGATGCTCATTCGCGTTCTCTGGCACGTGCGTGACATCCTCACTCTCGCCCAAGGAGCAAGATCTCATTGAAAGTGGCGGAATATCGGATATGCCTGGAGTTGAAGTTTGAGGCGTACTAGGACATGCTATGCTGTGGATTGGCAGTCCAAAGAATTTCGTGTTCCTTCAGTGGTGCAGGGGCAGACAGGAGGGAGTGGGCAAAAAAGTAATAAAAGAAATTACTTGAATGCGAATTTTTGTCACGAGACTCGATGGAATTTTAAAAAATCACGCAATTTTCGCCGAGGGGAAAAAAAGGATTTTACAATCAGCTGGAAATGCTTTCTAGCAATCGAGTCTCATGCTGGTATCGACCTTCTTGCGGCGGTATACAAGTAAAACGAATTGAACCCTTTCTGACCTGAATTAAGGCCGCCATCGGAATAATATAATTTTTTGCATTTTTGAGCTTTTTCTTGATTGTAATTGAAATTTTCATGCTTTATATGTTGTTTTCATATTTTGTATAAATTTACCATATAATACCATATATTAAACATTTAATTAAATAACTGAAGATTACAAAACAAATGGGTGAAAGAAGGCCTCTGATAGAACTGAGTCATGCATAATTGCGCCCATTGTAGCGTAATATGGAGCGCAAAGTCACGAGAATCCTAAGAAATTGCCATAGACACAATGTAAATGCAATGTCCATTGGAATGGACGTCAGGTCTGAAAGGGTTAAAGCAATGTTGCGTCATTTTTGGACTCTGTTGAATGTGACCTGAAACTGTCGATGTCTATACCTGCTCGACATTCGCCTGTTTTCGAGATCGAGAACGAAGATATTCTATAGGTTTTCCAAGTCAATTGTGAAGATATGAATTTCAAATGCGACATGGAAATTCAATTTCGAACGAAGTCCTTTCTGACAAGGCCAATATCGAAAGCGAGAAACAAAATGAGACGAGTTGGTTCTCTTCTGGGATTTTACAAGGAAATTATCTTTGGTCTCCAATGGGGAATTTTCCTTCCTCCAACTGCCTTTTTCTCACACACGACAAAGACAGCAGATCCCGTATTCATTCCTTATAGTATACTGACGCCCGAGGCCAGATGACCGAATAGGCGGACGAGGCGGGTGCTTAGGGGAGCCTCGATCGAGGGACGCCAAGCTACTGAATATGAAAAACGAAATAAATATTAACCGAGATGACAAGATTTCATAGTGAGTCACCCCCCTCCCCTCCCCTCCCCCTGTTCTCCCTTGCAAAATTGTGCTAAGGGGTAGGGGTGGTGCATGTTCTGCTTCAGCGTGTATGAAACCCTGAGTTAGTAGCTGAGCCCGAACACCCCAGGGATGAAGAATAGCACGGATCATTCCTTGGGCAGGGGGGAGTACGACAAAGGCGGGTGAGCAAAGTGGAGCGAGGATGGCTCCAGAATTTCAGGCGACAGGACTAATGGATCCCTCGACGCTGCTCATGTACACCCACTTCATAGTAAGGGGAGCCTCCACATTTTTAAGAGAGCGATGCGGGTCCCTTGGGGAGGGTGAGGGTGAGGGGGAGGGGATGAACTCCAACAAGTGAGCATGCCCTTTCCATCGCATATCCTTTTTTTCGCCGTGTTATTTACTGTGTATGGGTGCCAATAGTGTAGATAATCATTTTCAGGGTTGGTCATAAGAATGGATTAACACTTGAAAGGAAGGGAGGGAGGTCGAATTCCGAGGAACAAAAGAAGGGAAGTGGGGCATTTTGGGGCCTCTTCTTACGGTAATGCGACGTTGTTTCAATCAGACTAAAATGGGACGAAATAAATCAACCTAGGATGGCCCCCGCCGTTAACATGTACAGAGAGAGCCTTTCTCTCTCTCTCTCTTCTACTGTGGGCTCTTACGAAGGCTGTGGAAGATCGCCTGACCGAGCCGAATTGCGTCTGTTGCGAATTTATAAGGGTCTCAAAGAACTTATATTGCCTTGGGATTTCTCGCCGTGTTGAAGCTTTTCAAAACCCGACAGCACGAATTCCCGACAAAGTCAGAGGATGAAATTGCCAAATCGAGCCGAAAGATCTCATTTTGGGGAAAACGGGAGCCGCCAAATGGCTGCATCGAGCGCATACCACAGAGAGTGGCCGGGGCCGAGGCACATGCCGTTCTCGACAGTTTCTGATCGAATGCGAGATTCCCTTCGCCTTGTAACCGACGCAATCTCAAGTTTTCGTCCCGCATTTGAATTTCCATCGAAGCGAGGAGTCTTCGAGCCGTAGCATTTGCATTTCCTCTCGACGCCTTTGTCTCGAATATTGGGAAAGCTTGGGGCATAACGAGGTGGTCCCTTTAATATGACCATGCCGGTGCGATGAGAACGCCACTTGAGGTCATTCGAGAGCGCTCAAGGTCGCTGTTGTGCTCGGTCTGCGTAGTACTACCGCATTTACTTTAATTACCTCCGTTTTCCTCCCTAAATAATTATGAGCCAAAGGTCATTGTGCAGGAGGCGTGCACATCGTGAGTCGTCTGCAGGGTGAAATTCCGCCGTCTCCTCGATGAATTCCTTTACAGTTAGCTGTTTATTTTTCAGCTGTATACTTGCATGACTTTTATTTTCCCAGGCGATGATCACGTGGGTTTGCTGCGTAATTGTTTCAGCCGGAACTCACTCAGGCATACACCATCATCATCTCATGCTGGAAACAGATTTCCCTGGGGTGACCCGATCGTGAGCGTTGGAGGCCAATTGAAAACGTCCCGTGGCCAATTGAAAATGTCCCGTGGACTCCACATATCACGTAATGGAATGTGTTCTACAGTTAACGGCAGAAACTTTAAACGACTTTTTTTTTGTTCCCGTCTTCCCTCAATTTATTCCAAGTATTTCGAGTCTTACCTCTCCGGAAAAACCCGGAGGCGTTTTCGTCTGGCAATGAATGACATCGATGCGGAAACATCTGGAAAAAATGCGGGCTCGGCCGACGTCGAAGGAATTCCCGATCTGCCCTGCTTCCCAGTGCCGCGAGAGAGCCACAAACGTGTTTTTACGGGAAACAATGAAAGTGTCGTCGAGACGACGGTGACAGGACAATAGCGGAATCCCGTCGTCTCTCGACGTGTCATCGTTCATCATCGGACGGCAGAGGCTAGAAAGCCTGCAAAGAGGACGAGCTAGAAGCGATAAGTGCGACGCAGTGCTTCTGAAAATGAAGACATCGCGGTCAACCTCTTCAAGGAAGCTGGCACAAATGAGGACGATGCATTTTGATGCATTTTGATCGATGTATTTTGTTCGATGCATTTTGAATCGGTCAGACACCGATTCCCAACTGCTCAGATGCCACAGATATTGCCGATTTGTTGGAAACTTTTCATTGCGGTTGGTATCACTGTTCCCCCAGCTTGCAAAGTTTTTTTTCTTCACGTGTAATTTTCTTTGTCTGTAATGTCATGAAAACTGATCGTTTGAAGCAGATTTCTGATAGCAGTCAAGATTTAAAATCACAGGAAATTTAAGATCGGCATTCATTTACATCTGTTCCCTTCTGATCGTCTCAGGACTCCCTCCAACTATCCTCGGAAACTAGACGAGTGTCACAACACTTGTCACCCCGCTTGCGACGAATAAAAAAAGAATAATTTGTCAAGGACCTTGTTCCGGTCGGCGTTTTGGTAGAGCTCCAGCCACCACTTCGCCGTGACGGCCTTCCATCGGTCCACGACGTCTTCCTCGAACTTCCCGCGGCGCTGCACCACGGCGTACTCCCTGGCCATCGCCTCGAAGTCCTCCTTCGTCAGGACGCCGTCGCGGTTCAGATCTGTCGGGATGAGCGTGTCTCCGTGGTTTTATGGCTCTCGAGAAAGGTTATCGTTGGTACCCCGAAGCAACCGGGTGGTTTAGGTTCGATTTAAATCCGTGAAGTGCTGAAATTTAAAGGAAGTTCGGTATTTGCGCTTCCCAGAGTACTCTCGGTAACTTTTTTCGTGCTTCTATCGATTTACTCGAAAAAGGAGAGACTGCATGAAGTAATTCCCGGAAGATTGAACGAATCTCTCCACCAGTCATTTTCCAGATCAATGAGGAAATAAATGGAATCTGAAATGCAAGTAAATAAGACAACGGGAAAAAAATGCAAACAAAAAGGAAAAGTTGCAGAATCCCATAAGCAGTACATGGGTCCAAAGGGAGTTCCTCACTCGTGCGTATGACGCAGGAACAGGCTCGCCCAGAGCTTTCCGGAGGCCTGGAGGAAAACTAAATCGGAGGCCCCATGGAGGCCACCTTGAGGCCACCTTGAGGCCACCTTGAGGCCCCTTGATAAGCGAGCCTTCCCCCCTCCCCCCTTCCCCCTCTGGTTTAAGCACGTGGGAGGCTGGCACATATTATGCTGCAATGTAGCATTTCTCAAACCGTAGTTTCAAACCGTCTCAAACTACAGTTTCCCAAACTCCCTCTCTTCCCCTTGGTGGGCGCGCGAAGAGTCCGGAAAAGAAAATATGGACAGGAAGTGAATGGGAGTCAGATAGCGATAACCCCTTCAAATATCTCTTTATGAGCCGGGGTTATTTTATTGGTGCAACGTTATTCTTATGGCATATTTCAAAGCGGAGAAAAGGCATCATGCGAGATTTTAAGAATGGGGGGTGGGGCATGGTTCGCAGTCAATTTCTTTTATTATTAAAAAAGCACGAATTAACTTTTATTGGGACCTGTGAAATGGATATTGAAGGTGGATCGATGAACAGAAAACTATCCGATCACGCAGCTTCATTTCAGGGAAAATACATGATATTTTCTGAGAATAAAGATGCGTTATCGGATAGTGCTCTGTTCAAAAATCCATTCTCAGGTTTTTTACCTCGGACGAAAGATGGAAAAGGCGATAGTACGGAGGGTGGTGGTAGGTGGGGGGGGGGGGGGGGGGGAACTGGGGAATTACCCCCCTCCCCCTCTCCCAATCTTTAAACATTTTTTATTATCCGCAATTGCGCTGCTGTAGTGGTTGCATGAAGACCAAATTGCTGTATAGCCTAAAATAGAATGGAACTAGTAAAAAAAAAAATGCGAGCCCAGGGCATTCCATCGGACAAGGGTGCTGGAAAAAACGTGGGAGCAGCTTCCACAAGTTCGAATTTGACGCCACCCACTCCTAATCCCAATAGGTATCGATTCGAGCGATCTCCGAGACGAGGCGCATATGCGACACTAGGTGCCATCTGTGGCGAACTTTCGCTCGCGTTTTGCATGCGCAAATGTCGTCTGTGACAAGCTGCACCTCTCGCGGGAGGAACTCGTTCCGTTATTATTCCTTTCCGTCAGATGCGAACCCCTAGTCGATGCCGTGTGAGACATCGCGGGACGTCTGTACTCTCGGAGAAATATGGCTATCGTCCAGATCTAAACGCGCTGGAACGTGGCGAAAACAAAACCTGTCGTCCCCGGCCGAAGCACGTATACGAACAGGTACTTTTACGCCTGTAACTCGAATAAAAGTACTGACGCGGTGATCGAAAAATGTTTAAACGGCAAAATAAACCCCGAAATACGAAACCTATGCAAAAAATGCATGAAAAAATGCAAAAATAAACGAAGGACTCGAGCCTCCGAAAGCGACGAAGCGAGAGAACGAACCGTAGAAGTAGTGATAGAGAAAACGATGTTTCTCCCGGAAGAAATCCTCGTTCCCCGCCATATCGGATCCCCCGAACCAGCAATCTATCCCGGCCACCCACCAGGGAAAAGAGAAGAGCACCGAACGCACGACGGCTCACCGTGTCTAAATTTAGACGCTCTCTTCCCATCCGTCCCCACGCGCGCTCTCGCAGCCGAAAGAGACGCGAAGATGCATAGAGCACGGGACGGAGGACGAGGAAGAGAAGCGAAAGGAAGACGGCCTTGCCTCGGGCCGTCCTTGCTATCTTCTGGAATGTCCTTATAAGGGAACCTCTGCCGGAGACGGAAAGTCGATGACGAGAGGTGATATCGACACGGATCACTCGTCTTAGCAGGTCCCAATAGGCCTAAATTCCGATTCTCATGACCTCAGGATGACACGTCGTCCGTTGATGTCTCAATCCTCTTCTGTTAGATCTTGTCAGATTTTTTATATTATTTTTTAGTTCCCCCCCGAGTTCGATGCTTGGATTCCTCAAACCTGTTTTTTTTTTTTTTTTTTCGCTGCATGAAAACTGGAAGCATGGCACGTCTCCTTGCTCGCTCCTGTGGGCAACTGCCGTCGGGGATTTTCACCGGACACCGGTCGTTCGAGAACCGAGAAGAAAATTCCGATTTCCGCGCATTCGAGATATGCGGTCCGAGCAGCTCTCAAAACTCCCGTCGACGACGAACAGGTCCTTCGCTTTCGCGAAACTGTTCCGGGGTGAAGCTCGATCGAGACGGGAGACATCACTCACTTCTGGACTCGTGTTTTCGTATTTCCACGAGGGTGCACGACGCACTGGGTGATTCACGAGTCGCTATGCACAGGGTGATTCATGAGTCGCGATGCACAGGGTGATTCATGAGTCGCGATGCACAGGGTGATTCATGAGTCGCTTCGCCGCGATGCGTTTTCCGCAGGAGAGGCCGACGACCTTTGCACGAGGTGGATCATTCCACCTCAATTGAGGTGATTTCGCCTGCTCGACCGTCTCAGAATTCAATGAACTTTTAAACTTTAATTTTTCAAGGGAAAGTTGGATCCAGCTGATACTTGACAGAAAGGTTCACGAGTCTAAGAGGTTTTTTTATTTTCGCTTCCGCAAGATGCCGCTGCATCTCGATAGAGGGCGCTCTTCTTCACCGGGTGACCGAAGGTGATTAAGGAAATGGTGGAATGTTCCGCCTGTAAACTGTGCAACGGGACAATACATGCTTAGAGAATTGTTCAGAAAAAAAAAAAACAAGACAATCTTTTCAACAACTCCTTTATATCCAATATCAAGAGTTCATGAATTTTTTTAATATTTTTTACTCGAGTGCACGAATCGCACTTTCTCCCCTTTGAAAACGGTGGAGCTTTTCTTAAAATCACCCTCTGTCACCCGGTGAAGAAGAGCGCCCTCATTGAATTCTGAGACGGTCGAGCAGGGGTAATCACCTCAATTGAGATGGAATGATCCACCTCTAAGCCCCTTTAATTCACCTCTAAATGGGCATTGCACGACTTAGGCAGGGGTGCTGTAAAAAAAAAAAGCTGACAAGCTTGTAACGATCAAATATCGATCGCGTGTCCAATACAATTTTTTTTTTTGCAGCATTTATGAAACTGTGTTTCTCCCACAGAAAACGGTTTTTCTTTAACCACCCTATATATGCTCGTGATACAGTAATGGTGAGTTAAATCTTTTCAAGCGGCGGTCTCAGTTTCTCCCTTCGGTAAAATCATCATTGTAGTGCTCCACCTCTCCTTCCTGTTTGAATGTTGAGCCTCCATCTTGTTTTCATTGAATCTTCCCCGGCCGGCCACCCAAGGGGATATACCGGATGTTCCTCATTCCGGCTCCACCGTTCCCAAAGGTGGAGGGCATGCGAGAGCATGCAAGAGCATGCGAGAGCATGCAAGACAACAGTTTCGCCTCGACGAAGATGCTCACGCTGATGGTGATAATGCAGTTTGAAGCAAACGTGAAGGGAACTCCGATGGGGCACGAACGACGTTATGCTAAGGGGCAATGACCATTCTGCACGTGGCAGGAATCGCATTGCAAATCGTACGAATTAAGTGCAGAATTTATTCATCGAAATGCGCTGATTAAATTTTCTCTCGACGAGAGACGCGCGGGAATTTAAGGCAATCGCGACAGGAAGTTCTCGGCGAGTTTTTAAGTGGGCACAACTTCGTCAAATATAAATTTCCGAGTCGAAAGAGCAACACCGAGAAGGAACTAAACCGTGCTGACGAAATCAAAACAGGAACTCCTAGTAGAAAGTAATTAAATCGACTGAGTTTTTTAAAAATCCCGGTCGATCGCAAAGGAACGGATTTAAATGCAAAAGACGTCGGCCCCGAAAGCCAAACCGACGAAGGAGTTTCCCCACTTCGGGGAGTTCCGCGTGTTTGCTCGGTAAACAATCATTCCGTGAGTTTGGGACCCCCCAACATTCGATTTCTTTCTTCGAGTTCCTTCGCAAACTTTCGTCAAAATCGTTCGACGCCTTCAATTGCTTTTTTTTTTTGGGGGGGGGGGCGAAAAGTAAATAAGAAAAAGCTAGGGCTGTGGCTTCATATTTATAAATATATTAATATGCCCGTTTTTGCCGACACGAATTAATTGATTTCAAAATCACTTTTCATCTCCAATCCCAAGCATTTAAAAAAAAATAATAAATATTAATGCTAAACGCTCCGTTTGAAACTAATACGAGCGATCTCAAATTTCATTCCACGTGGAAGGAGTAATTAGTTTCCTCTTCTAATTAGTTTGCAATCTTACCATCTACGATTTCGCTCTGTTGCTTTACTTCAAATATTCATGAATAAGTTTTCGTGTGGAACTTTCTGCTCATTAAAAATACCCGTAAGTTTTATTTATAAGTTTTCCTACCATCTTTCGCCTGATATTTCGGGAAAGGCATATTCTGAAACTCGTTGCCGTTTTCGTCGTGCTTCGCTCTAAGACTCCGAATTCTGAAACTGGCCGAGGCAGGAAATTACGAGTAGGCTCACGCGAAACGTAACTCGTAGGGCGGGAAAGTTTGCGATGGGGGGGGGGGGGGGGGGGATGGTGATTCGGGTCGTACTGACATCTGTACGTGGACCATCCGACATCTTTGGTTCCCGCCCGTCTCCATAGATGTCAGAACCCGGATGCGGAAAATCGTTTGCTAATTTTCGTGTTCGTCGCGCGCCCGCCTTCTCTTTCCTTTACCCGTTGATCCCGTTCGCGTTGCAGGGCCCGATGGCGTTCATCGCATTCCCAACTCGACGACGGACTCGCGGGACGGAAGACTCCTCCGATTTTTGGAGACGGATTTTCGACGGATTCTCGAGAACGGCGTCGAACGCGTCCGAGTCGCGTACCGAGTTTTCTGCCGGCTGCTCGCAACAGCGAATCGCCATCGGCAGAGAGCAAGGGAGCGTCTCTCCCGCTAGCGGCCCTGCGGAGCCCCCCAGCGGCCCTTCGGAGGCCCCCAGCGGCCCTGCGGAGGCCCCCCCAGCATCTGACGTCGCTCTTAAGGCTCAGCCGCTCGGCGTTCTCGCGGTTCGCAACGTCCCGCCGGCAGCCGCCCGCCCGATGGCGACGCCATTCGATGACGCGGAAGGAGGTCACTTTTGAAGGAGGCACCCTGCCGCTGCCCTCCTCCGCGCCAGCGGCCGGCCGTTCTTCGCGCAACGTTTTCGCCTATTTCATGAAATACGCAATCCTGCCATCGGTTGATCTAACCAACCGATGTATCCTTTTCCGCGAAGCGAGATCAGGTGACGTGGAAGAAGACCCGAGGGGGAATAGCATCATCCCGAACGAAAATAGAAACCGAGACGATCGCAAGTTCAATGCAGTCGAGTCGCGCAGAGAGGAGCCGAGCGGTGAGCAAATCCACGGGAAAATATCCCGAGGGGGGAAAACATATTTACCGGAAGATTTCTTCCCCTCGAAACGAAATTCGAAAATGTCTTTCCTGAGGGAAAGAATCGATTTAATTTTTTTTTTCGGGCGAGTGTCTTTCTCTGGGACATCAGCCGTTCGGTGCCGCTTTTCCCATTTCGATTCTCTCCGCGTCGACGTTTGTAATGCCGTCTTTCCTTTTTAGCAAGATTTTTTTTTTTCCAGGAGCCAAGTCGATCCGTGAGAAGCGCTCCGAAGAACCCTGAGCCTAAAAATGATTTTTTTTAAGTTACGATGTGGATGTTTACTGTAAATACATGGTGTCTCAAAAAAATGTATACACACTCAAATCAAGAGTGTATATTACGAGGGTCAGTCAACTGAAAACAGGACATTGCTTAAAATAGCCTTTTATTATATATGTTGAAGGTGATGATTTCGTCATTTTTCTATATAATCAATGCATTTTTACCAACGTCCTACTCTCCTACTCAACGTCCTACTGCTCTGACGCCCGAGGCAAAAAAGGATTTGGGTTGCCCCTTCAGCCATGAATGCACTGCTTCCTGCACCTCATTGTCAGACTGAAACTTTCGCCCGCGCAGCGCTTCCTCGAGAGGTCCAAAGATGTGAAAATCACTAGGGGCTAAGTCCGGGCCGTATGGCGGATGCGGAAGAACTTAAAAACCCGAGATCCGTAATGGTTTCTACAGTCCGTCGAGCAGTGTGGGGACGAGCATCGTCGTGGAGAAGAAGTACTCCTTTCTCGAGGAGACCACGACGTTTTGTTCGAACTGCAGGCTTCGGTTCATCTCGCAGCAGCTGTGAACACGTGTCCCTGGTTACGGTAGGGAGGTACCCCGCGAGGTCGGTAGCGAGTCACAAGAACGCCATTCGTGTCCCAAAAAATGGTCAGCATGAAGGTCGAGGAGAGGTCTCGTGCCTCCATTCCATACTGGCTCGTTCGCTCTCTGGTGTCTGGTAGTGGACCCATGTCTCGTCTCCCGTCGCAATTCGCGAAAGGAAAGCATCTCCTTCGGCTTCGAAACGGCTCATCGGGGAAACCGCACTGGTTTCGCGCCGGCTCTTCATCTCTTCCGTCGGTAGACGGGGGATCCATCTCGCACACGCTTTATCGAATCCCAGCATCTCGTGAAAGATATGGTGGGTAGAGCCATGACTTACCTACCGAGGTTGGCAGCGATTTCATCGAGTGTCATTCGCCGATCCCGTTTCGCAAGTTCCTCGGCGCGTGCTACGGTCTCCGACGTCACTACGCAGTGCGCTTGGCCCGGGTGTTATTCCACTTTGAAACTTCTGCACCCACTCGTAGACGTTGCTCCTTGCAATGCAGTGGTCA